TTAAGTCAAACATTCGTGTGCATGAACATTTAATGTTTAATTTGGTCTGGGTGTTTCTATGGGTGTTTCTATGTATAATATGTATGTATTTACAAAAAAAGTACATATGTATTTTAAATCAATTGTCTAGCACCCATAGTACAAGCTCTGCTTAGTTTGTTGAACCGTAAAAGCTTAAATATAAACAATATAAACTTAGTTTCTTATCATTATCACCAGCCTTTAGTAGTCTACTGTTGGACATTGGTATCTCCTTAGAAAAAAGGTTTTGGCTTACTATATCACGCTGGCCAGACGGGTTGTGTATGTGTCCAGTTTTCCTTCTCTTTGCAGTGCTGTTGTCCTGCGTAGTTTGCTCCCTTAGTCGGCTCTTACGACGCCCACGGGGTGAATGGGGGTGTTAACACTCCGTATTCTTAATTCGACACTGTTAGTTGTTTCATCTATACAATTAAATAAAATTGAAGTGTCTGTTTATAATGTCAAAATTATAGTTTTTTTCCGTGCTCACGTTTATTTGCACGATAGCTATGCCTAAGAACCAGTTTTTTTGCCTGCCTGTTTGTGCCCGGCAATCTTCTAAACGTCTGGACTGATTTCGATTATATTTTACTACCAGGTAGCTGACTACATAAGGAATAACTTAAGCTATTTTTCCTCTCATAAAAACCCTTTAAAATTTTGCCCAGTCCGGGCATCGAACCCACTAAGGCAGCGCTTTTCAAATTCCACTGCGAACCACCCACGTACTAGTAGATAATAAATATCATAAATAATTTATCTATGGTATTTATCTACACCAAGATATGGAACAACTGATACTGCTCGTTACTTACAATGTTTAAATCCTGGGCGTAAGGCCAGTGTAGTCTAATTTTAGTGAGTCCAATTTTTATCTAGTTCCGGATACATTTAGTAAACATTTGTTATTCTAACATAACAGATAAACACAATCAATTTTATTTATTTGTATGTATTGTTATACATTTATACATAATGATTTCAATTGTTTCAATAGTCGCCGAAAGTCAATTTGACCTCCAATTGGCTACTTTACGTCATCACTATCTATTGTCACACAAATGCGGCTATCATAGTTCAAATATATTAACATAAATATAACAGTATATTCCGTGTGATGACGGATTAAGAATACGGAATGTCACCACTCCTATTCATACCGTGGGTGTCGTAAGAGCCGACTAAGGAAGCAAACTGCACAGGACAACAGCACTGCAAAGAGAAGGAAAACTTGAAACAAACCCTATACCAACCCGTCTGGCCAGCGTGGTATAGTAGGCCAAAACCTCCTTTCTAAGGACAGGCTTATGTCCAGCAGTGAACTGTTAAAGGCTGTTGATGAACAGTACATTTAGTTAACAACTTCAAAATCTAAGGGATTATTAAATAAGTTGTGAGTTATCTGTACACCAATCTCCTCCAATCTTCCAATACTGGTGGTCACACTAAGGCCAGTAATTATGTAAGAGGAGTAGCAGTATAATAATAATATACCTCACACATCTCACACACGGCCGTCTGATCCCAAACTAGACAGAGCCTGTACAATGGTAACCAGACTGTTGATAAACATACATATAATAGGTATTTACCTATGAAATTGCCGTTTTGTATGCAATAAGTGAAAGTACTTATTTTTTCAAACTTTTTTATTTCTGTTATTCGAAGTAATCACCCATGCAATCGACGCATCTTTGCCAACGCATTGGCAGTTTATTGATGCCCTTCTTGTAAAAATGTGTGAGGTGAGTATGGCGGATGAGGGAGAGCTTCCAACCCCAGCTCTTGCAGCTTGGAGACTGTCTGTTGCGCAGTATGGGGTCGCGCGTTGTCGTGAAGGAGCAGTGGGACGACCGATTGACCAAAGCTGGTTGCAGATGTGACCACCAGACCTTGCACCTACCGACTATTACTTTTTCCAAAATTTAGACAACTTTTTAGTGGGTAACAAATTCAATTCCCGAGAGGCAGTACAAAATGCCTTTGAAGAGTTTGTTGCCTCCCGTCCAGCTGATTTTTACAAGAAGGGCATCAATAAACTGCCAATGCGCTGGCAAAGATGCGTCGATTGCATGGGTGATTACTTCGAATAACAGAAATAAAAAAGTTTGAAAAAATAAGTACTTTTACTTATTGCACACAAAACGGCAATTTCATAGGTAAAGACCTATTATATTTCTAAATACATACATAATATAGATAAATTACACCCAGACACAAAACAAATGACCGTGCTGAACATACAATATTTGTCCTGGGTAGGGATCGAACCCACGACCTTCAGCTTAGAAGTCAGGGTCACTAACCGCTAGACCAACAGGCCTGTCAGTATGTATTTGCGGAGTTATTGTGTTTAAAGATAATGTAAATCCACAATATTATAATTTAATTAGATTATTATTTTTGTTTATTCAATCTTTTGGATCATCATCTATACACATATTTCTTGACTGCCTCGGTTGTGTAGTGGTAACGTATGCGACTGCTGTGTTGAGGTCTTGGGTTTGATTCCCGGTTCGGACCGAATTGTTGTATGATCTGCAAATATTGGTTTCGGAGTTTGGGTGTTTTTTACCTATGTATTTACAAAAAAAAAGGTATTCTACCAGCCAATCTAGCTTACAAAGTACAAGTTCTGCTTAGTTTGAAACTAGATACTGTTTTGTGTCAGACGTCCGAAGTATTATTATTATTACTTCCTTATCCCCAAATCCCCGGGTGGAAAGAGTCGTAACGCCGATATTTTGCCGTATATAATTCTAGTCATACTGACGTAATACTAGGCAAGTCTATTGTGGTGTACGGGTCACAAATATTTCTCAATAAACATATGTACTAATATTTAAAAAAAAATTGTCTTTCTTTTCTACATTTGACACACAAGATATGAACTTCATGAACGAGGTTCCTTATCACGCGTTCTGAGCGGAGAGCGAGACCGAAAAATGTGTAACAAGGTTGCTTTTTCCGACACTATGGCAAACTTCTATCTAAAAGCGAAAGAAACTTGGTTCCGACTGTGGGTTCATAGAACCCTAACGCCATTTTTTTTGTTGTAAGCTATTAAGATGGCAAAATAAGCACTTTGTTCTCCCTAAATGATGGCAACTAAAATGTTATTAATATCTAAATACGTCAGTATTTTTTGCCGAAAGGAAAATGATCAAAGATCACAAATACCTGCTTAATATAAGCTGGTTATTACTTATTGACGTCATTTGAAACCTGAATGCTAATTCTCGTAAAAAGTTTGGTCACAATTCAGTTCCGATCACCTTTCGATCTCACAAATGTCATAACAATGTCATAACAATGTCAAATGTCATCCGCGGGTAACACCGCGGGGCGTATGGTTCCATGGTAACCAGACTGCTGATAAACATGCTTATATGTATATTATAGACATTGGACACCCAGACACAGAACAAATGATCGTGCTCATCAGATGATTATTTGTTTTGGGTGGGCATTGAACCCACGATCTTTGGCTTAGCACTGTCACTAACCACTGTACTAATACTTCAGTCAATATTATATAAATAAATCTTGGAAGGTTTAACCTACCACTAATTATAGTAATAAAATGAAACTCATATACTAGGTACATTGATAGTAAAACAAATATTTATTTTAAATACTCATGACTTTCCCACGGTAATGGATGCCTACTGGTTGTTTTTTATGATTTATATTTTAATATTTTTTTATCAAATAAAGCACATATTTACTTCATTGCAAGATGTTTATTTTTTTATAAAAATAATTCACATTCTAGTTTCAAATTCCCGAAGATGGTGCCCGCGGCAGTGCAGCGGGCAGGCGCTAGGAGGGGTCCGGATGTCTTAATAATAGCGGTTTCCGGATCTCTCCTACAACAGGCGCAGAGTGGCACACCGTGTGGTTTTAACCGGTCCGATTCCGACACACCACCCCGCCGCAAACCCCGGTGGGGTGATGCACACGTAAAAAAAGGGTTTGTGTCAAGTTTCCCTTCTCTTTGCAGTGCTCTTGTCCTGCGTAGTTTTCTCCCTTAGTCAGCTCTTACGATAGCGGCGGGATCAATCACACGACACGAACGACGCCACACAGACGTTTCCCTTTATATAGTAAAAATCTATCAGTCTGAAAAGAAAACCTCACTATAAAATAAAATATTTTTTATTATATTAAATTAATATTTCATAAAGACGAGTAACACAGTATATTTTGTACGATATGTTATATTGTATGCTAATTTCATATCCTTCAAAAAATTGCCCAAAAAAAAAACAATTTTAAATCGTCTCTCTTACTCGACATTGATATTTTTATTAAATTAATTAAAATCTAAGTGCGCAATGTTGAGGTCTGATGTTTACATACACAACACATAACCCTATGCCGATATTCACATATTAACTTAGTTATTTCATAAATACTTATGTATTGTATGTGTTAGTATTATTATCACTTATAAATGTATTATTTATAAAAAAATATATTCTAATGTAATTAATATAAGTACTCTGGGTATATGATATCCTCTATATGCTATATTTTTCATAAAATCACATTTTTAATTTCTGCATCGCCCTAAGGTTGACTGGAAGAAAATACCTACGGCATTAAGTGCGTCTTTGTCACATTTGTGCATAAAGTGTAAATAAATAAAAAAAATAAAAAAAAATTCTAAATCAACCTCTAACTTGTACTAGAAACCACAAAAGGAATTTGCCATTTATGGTTAGTTTTAGTTAATTATACATTATAAGTTGTTGTAATTTCCCATTGATAATAGTACTATAGCCTTGTTTACCTAACAAGGTAAAATACTTATAGGAAAACATCTGAACGTATTTATAACTCTGTTATTTTTGTATCACGACAATAATTAATAATCAAGGTCATCTTACAACCGTTTAAATTGAACTAGGTTAATACATGATACTTACGACGTATCTTATTGATTTTTAATTAATCAGGAACAATGATAAACAAAATCATTTTTTACTATACATAAATAAATATTCACTAATTTTTGGAAAAATTACTTCACTAGTATATTGGCTGTAGGTCACGTCCATATGGTTCCATAACGGATCTTGAACTTCAACGGATTCGATAACCTTGGGTAACTTGGACACCAACCACTTCACATCTTTCGTATCCACTAAACCATCGTTTTTACCATAAATACACACCACAGGTACAGTTACGGCACTTAAGTTGTACTTTGGGGGTTCCTCACTACCATAAACAACTAAGTTTCTTTCTTTTCCATAATCATATTTCCCGAAATTGCTGCTTCTCATACTCTGACCAAACCTTGCCATATTATGCACTGACGTTCCCGCGGGAAAATGTCCAAATAACACCTTGGTAGTAATATTATTAATTGACCCTGAATGGAACGACTCCACGTAATCAAACATTTCTATAAATTTTACACACACATTTCTCGTAATTTCTGATAGTTGACAAAAGAATGCCACAAATTCCTGACAGAAAGCCCCCTTAGACAGCACTTCCTGAACACCATATATTGTCAATACACTTTCTAGTTTTTCTATAGCTTGCGTCAGTCCTCGAAAAATCTTTGATTTAGTATTTAGCTGCCTTGCTGCAGGTGCTAAGCCAATCAATATTTGCACTTTATCACAATACTCCGGCCTTTCTGAACACATTACTAAAAACGCACCAGTTCCTTGTGAAAAACCGATGTAGTTCAGCTTTTCTGTCTCCGTATAATCCAGAACATAATCAATCATTGCAGGAATATCATACATCCCGATTTCATGGCTGTAAAAATTCCAGTACTCGGGATCTTTGTCTGGATTTAGGCGGACATGTTGCCTGGAGTAATAATTCCCTCTGTTGTTTCCCACCCACAGGTCGTAACAGGCATCAGAAATCAGGTAAGCGAGTCCAGAACTTGGGCCGGAATCAATCCAGGAATCTGAGCTTTGAAGTAATCCATGCATTAGTAACACAGGAGGAGACTTGACTTTTCCATGACAATTTCTGGCTTTTACTATTCTAAACATTGTTAGTATATATCCGTCTTCGCTAACCACTTTATGTTCTTCTGAAATGTATCCATATTCGGAGGTGAGCTCGGTGAAATTCAGCAAGGAATCTCTTGGGTATCCTAGGTTGGTTTTGGTGTCCCGTTTGATAGGAAGCCAAGGGGTCCTTAGCAGATACGCAAGGACTATGACCGTCGAAGACAATAAAATGATTTTGTTTGTGTTGAACCGTTTCGAAGTCATGATAACAACTGAGCCAAGCGGCGCGGGCGCAGACCTATGTATACAGATATTTAACAAACCTGTGCGTAGGTGCGAGTTGGAAAATTATCGCGAATAGGTAGATTTTTTTTGTACGTTTAAACATTTAAATATTTTTTTGATATATAACTTTTTTTGTTTTTGTTTTTCAAGGTTTATAAATGTTGCGAATTATAGCGTTAATTAGTTTTAAGGTTCTTTTACTGTTGTTTTAATTACAGAATATATATTTTTAATTTATAGAGTGAACCTATTATTGCCAAAGGCTGATAAAACTTTTTAAACTGTAGTTTTACTTGCTGTCTGTTTTATAACATATTAATACAAGTACATTAATTTTTTGATATAGTGTTTTTTATGTAGTGATACAGTTTATAAATATTCTTCAAGGACTAACAAAGAGGGTCTGTGAGTTTTTTTAAATTTTTTTCGAGCTGTCTCAAGCGAATATTTTGCGTTCAAATTGATGAATAAAATATTAATTTTATATTCGTTACTTCATTGTTACATTACATTTTATTATTATTAAATAAATAGTAATAAAAACATGATTACTCATTGTTGTACTTTAAAATGACAGAAGATTTATGCTAAATACCTACTAACTTCAGTCTGACATTTGAATAATTCTGTTTTCATCGAACTTAATCCCGTGGATACGGGTATAAAAATTATCCCACGTGTCTACACAGGATACAATACAAATGCTAGGGAATAACTTATATTGCTGTATGTAAATAGAAATAAGTACATATGTATGTAATTAAATTAAAATAAACAAATATTTACCTTTAAAAAAATTGTGTTGTTTTTAAGAGGAGTGTAAAAAAATAATTGATTACAAGTAGGCATGACTTGTAAAACAGTTTTTATGGCATATTCATGTGGTGACGGATTAAGAATACGGAGTGTTCATCCCGTAGGTGTCGCAAGACTCGACTAAAGGAACAAACTACACAGGACAACAGCACTGCAAAGAGAAGGAAAGCTTGAAACAAACCCTATACCAACCCCTCTGGCCAGCGTTTTATAGTAGGTCGATACCACAAATTGTTGTTTTGAGTCTGGGTGTTCTTTGTGTCCGTTTCATGTATGTTTGTAAAGTCCCGCACGACACAGGATATATTCCCAATGCGGGAAATGTCAAAAATATAAATATATATATGTGAGCGGAACTACGATATAAACATAGTTTATGTACAGCAATTAATTTATACAGCGTCATGGCGCAATGTTTACGATTCACTAGCTAGTGTTGTTGCTTAGCTTGTTAATTAAAGGAAAATGTTTGTTTTCATGTTCACTTAACAATTTTACCTCTCCTCCTCTGTTTCCTCTTTAAACAGACAATTCTAGAACTAGGAATATATCCTGTTTCGAGAGGAACTTTAATAACATTCATAAAATAGAAACAAAGAACACCCAGAAAAAACAATTTGTGGATCGCACAAAGTGTTGTACCATGTGGGTATCGAACCCACAACAGCTTAAGGCACTACGTCATATAATGATAATAATAACACATATCACATCAACAGCCTTCAGTAACACACGGGATGGATAAAGACCTCTCCTTAGAAAGGCGGTTTTGGCCAACTATACCACCCTGGCCAGACGGGTTGGTATATGGTTTGTTTCAAGTATTCATTCCCTTTGCAGTGCTATTGTCGTGCTTAGGTTTTTTTTTTAGTCGGCTCTTAAGACACCCACAGGATGAATAGAGCGGTGACACTACCTCTTCTACATGCGTCACTACACGAACAGTTCTAGTTTTAAGATACCTTATATCCTTCTCTGTACGACAACTTGTAAGTAAAATACACGATTTTACAATTATTACGTATAATAACCCTAGTAGACGTCAGTTTGTAGGTAAGATTTCGAGTATTATACCAACCTCTGGAACCAGTTATCGGCTGCGGTATTTGCGGGCCGATACGACCTTCAAACCTTCAAGAAAAGAGCGTACTCTTTCCTCAAAGGCTGGCAACGCGCTTGTGATTCCTGAGTTGTAGGCGTTCAAGGGCGGCGGTAGTCGCTTTCTTTCTGGTGACCCGTCTGCTCGTTTGCCCCCTATTCCATACACTGACATGACATAGGTCAGGACAAACTAAGCAGGACAACAGCACTGCAAAGAGAAGGAAAACTTGAAACAAACCCTATACCAACCCGTCTGGCCAGCGTGGTATAGTAGGCCAAAACCTCCTTTCTAAGGAGAGGCCTATGTCCAGCAGTGGACTAGTATAGGCTGTTGATGTGTTGATGATGTGATGACATATAAGGTTACTCCACTGACAATATTTTAATAGATGAATAAAAAAATCAAGGAAAAACAATAGGAATAAAATAAACAAAAAAGTTAACATTCGTTTTTATTTTCCACTATGGCTGTTCTATATAATTTAGAGAGACATGGATGTATGCACCGCATATTAACAAACATATTATACATTGATTTTTATACGTTAGATGTCCATTTTGTTATTCAAATTCGAGTATCTTAGAGGAGTTTTCTTTGCCAGTTGGTGTATAATAACCCTATTGGACTTCAGTTTCTAGTTAAGATGTCAGGTGTTATACCTAATAGTTAGTTATACATAATAGGTTTGTTTTCTCTTATTTAGACGTTATGATAAACAAACTTTACAATAACTATCAAAGAACATTGTTATTATGACCTTATCAATGACATTGTCAATTATTAATACCAGTCACCGTGCAAGTTTGATGCCTTTCACATTAATTTAAACACGCTATTATTAGGTCCATTTATAACTTTGCAAAACAATTTTCGAAGTCAATTTGAATCGTTCTAATTGCTGTTTCGAAATAAAACTTTGTATATACAAGTTGCGAGCTGTGAGCTGGAAGTGAGGGTGTCTCGTGAACTGCTTGAGTTTGGGGTCATTTGATTTGGCTTTGGTTGACGATGACAACTTTTTTCAATATAATTTTTATTACTAAAGCATGTTTTCCCAAACTAAAATATAGCCATGATATTAAAAAATAGTTACTCGTTTGATTCCTATATTTATTTTGCTTGAATGTCAAATTGATTTTAAAATAATTATAAGTAGTTTTCAAATCTAAACAACACTGACTTTATGTGTCAGTCGGACAGTCAGTTAGTCAGTCGTTTTTCTACTACGTCATCAGTAGTCAATTCGATTCCAGCTCAGGTCAAAAACCTGAATGATACTCACGCTTATAACTTCACAGGTATAGGCGGAAGTGTATTAAACGATCTAATTTCCATTCTTACGGAATAGGGAGCAACGTCAACCGGGGACTTTAGGAATTAGATAGTTAAATTGGGAGTATAGATGGACAAGAAGGGAATACTATGGCAGAAAAGGGATTTTGCTTTATACGAGGATTAGGAACTGTCAGTAATAGCTCGAGCATGTGAGTGTTAACTGTAACTCGAATGACCTATTAACGGAAATTCTGATTGATTCCGAGTCCTCTATCTATGCAGTAGTCCGCGTAGTGACGGATTAAGAACACGGACTTTTTATCGCGTAGGTGTTCTAAGAGCCGACTAAAAGAGTAAACTACAAAGGACAAGAACACTGCAAAGAGAAGGAAACTCGAAACAAACTCTACACCAACCTGTCTGGCTAGCGTGATGTAGCAGGAAAAAAAACCTCCTTTCTAAGGAGAGGCCTTTGTCCAGCAGTAGACTCCTAAAGGCTGTTGATGATGATGACGCATGCATGAAAATGTATTTTTTATGGATATGGGGGCAAGTGAGCAGACGGGACACCTGATGGTAGATGACCCGCCTCCACAAATAAGCTAGCGAGGAGGGAGAGGAACCAGGTATAACTTGGAAAGTAAATTCCTTGTATCCCAACGGACACCGAAGGATACCTTAAATTTACGAAATAAAAGTGTGATGACGTTCTTTGCGTGCCCTCAAAAGTTAATCAGGGTTGGCCTTCGTTCTCTATGGGGCGAAGACGGGCGTCTGGGCTAAAGACTTGGCGGGTGCCTCCCGCTGCAGGGCTCTACTCAGAAGCCTGCAGCGGTTGATGGCCATACGGATCGTACGGGGCTATCGTACGATCTCGTTTAAGGCGGCAACGGTCCTGGCGCGATATCCACCCTTCGACATTCTGGCAGACATGGACGCGATGGTCTATGATCAAGTTCGCTCTGTCGGTTGGAATGGTGAAGGGGCCGCGCCAGATCATGATCCCGGAATGCTAAGGCGAAACGCGCATACGCAGGCTCTGTGGACCTGGCAGGCACGGCTCGAAATCAAGGGCTGTGCTAGCCAACGCGCCGTCGGAGCCGTTCTGCCGAGCTTCGAAGCGTGGGTAGGGAGGAACGACAGTGTCACCTACCGATTGACTCAGGTGTTCACCGGGCACGGTTGCTTCGGTGAGTATCTGAATCGAATTGGACGGGAGGTCACGGCACAATGCCACCATTGCGCGTCTGACTGGGACTCCACCCAGCACACGCTGGACGACTGTCCTCGAAGGAGGCGACGAAGTGGACGCGGCAGAGGTCGTTAGCTTCCCAATCGCCGCCTAAGGCTCGCTGCGGCCACATCTTGGGGCTATGCGGCCGCTGCAAACGACCCGAGACAGATGACACTCCGGTGCGGCCGGGTCTGTTGTCCAAGGCGGGGCGCTGTTGCGCCTCCTACTGTATAGAGCAGTGAAAGGCGCGGCAGCCTCCCGCCCTAGGGTGACTACAGTCACCCCGGGATGTGCCTCAGACATGGGGTACGGCAGGGAGGACTCCAGAAGCCGCCGATGCGTTTCTGGAGCTCCTCCTGACTGCCGAGGTAGGCCGCCGCGGGGTTTAGTGGGTAAACCGGTTCTCCGGGAGTCCCACACACGCCCTGCGTTTCCCCAACGGAGGGTACGGTGCGAAAAGCATTCCCCACGTTAAAAAAAAAAAAGGGTTGGCCTTCGTTACTCTCACTCGGTGAAGCTCAATCAGTTCATTTTGTCTCCTGCTTTGCTAAG